TCATTTAATTATTCATATTTTACAAATTACAAACAAGATTCTTTTTAAACATTATTCTGTGAATTAACCATGATTACATAATCTAATAATAAAATTATTTAACCTCTTAATTATGAATCTATACTTCTTTTTTTGAACTGAAGTTAAAATTATAAATCTATACTTCAATTCCTACACTCTACCGATCTGCAAAAGAAAAAATGGCGAACTCAAACGTTCTCTCTCTAACTTTTCGCTCTCCCCAAGAGAAGGATCAGCTTGATCGAAGCGTGAAAAGGATCAAGAATGTTAATCTAATCGCTACTGCTCCATCTAGAGAAGAGCATATGGCGGAAGCTGCAGCCAATCCCCAGTCCTATAGAGACAAACTGATCTGCAATGGCTCTTTCGAAACGCCCGACGAGGACCTTTCTTTTGATGCCATTCCCGAATATCTTGATGAAGAATCGGATATCGACGATGATCCAGATGACCCGACGCCGATAATCCTTTTCTTCAAAGAGGAAAAAAGACGCATGCGCGAACCATGGAAAAATGCTCTTATTGTGAAAACCTTTGGCAAGTCAGTGGGTTATAATTTCCTTTATGGGAGTCTCAAAGCCCAGTGGAAACCAGCAGGTAAATGGGATTGCATTGACTTAGGATATGACTTTTTTCTTGTTCGTTTTCAGGTACATGAAGATCTCAGTAAGGTCATCAATGGTGGCCCTTGGTTCGTTGGTACAAACTACCTCACTATCAGACCATGGGAACCGAATTTTAAGCCTGAAAATGCCACTTTCTCGCACACTGTGGTCTGGGCACAGTTGCCGGGCCTTTCAGCAGAATACTATGACACAATCTCCTTGCAACGTATTGGCAACGAAATCGGAACTCTTCTCCGTGTTGATGCCCATACAGCACACCATACACGTGGACAATATGCTCGTGTGTGTGTTAGAATAGATTTGAATAAACCCCTTGTAAAGCTTCTCAGATTGGGTAAAATTCGTCAGAAAGTTGTTTATGAGGGGATAAGGGGACTCTGCTTTGCGTGTGGTCGAATTGGCCATCGCAAAGAGGTCTGTACCTTTCAGTCTAGGCCACCTGCAACTGCCAATGTCACCAATTTGGATCTCCAGAACCAGCCAAACATTAATGTAGATGCTGAACCCAATGTCACGGGTTGCCATAATCCGGAGGATTCAACCTCCACAAAAGGGGCAGGAGGCTTCCAAGGTGTTAGCAACGATCATGTCCCTAACTACTCTGCGGAGCCTAAGAATACTCGGGAAAATCAATTTGATGAATTTGGTCCTTGGCTCATTGTGGAGCGGAAAAAAAAAGAAGAAAACCCAGAAATAGGTGCCGGAATCTTCATCGGAAGGGAAAAGCAACGGACCCAAGGTTTCTAAGGGCCCCACAGAATCGAACCAAAGATCGGGTTCCATGAACCAAATGGGCTACAGTTCAGTCAAGGTTGGTAGAACCAACGGTACTCCTGCAGGAGCATTTAATGTGAAAACTCAGTTCAAACCTGCTAAACATTCGATTCTAAAATCAACCGTTACCAACTTTACGTCTAGCCATATGGATATAGGCCCAAAGAGAGATCCTGTATCCACAAGTTCTGCACCTAGTGGGAAGGAGATATGGGCCTCTCCCAAGACAACGAATGAAGATTTTGGCACAAACGGGAATGTGGGCCAAAGCAACAACCCAACAAAGGCCTCTATTCCAACAGAGACCATCTCTAACCCAATGACAGGGCCTTGTAATCTTTTATCCAATGCTCCAGCCAGCCTTGAAGCTGCGTTGCTCACTGTCAAAGAAAGGATCAAAAATCTGGAATCAAATTCCAATGTTACTTCTGCACCTTCAAATTCCTCTGTTCTCCCAAAATCCCCTTCAGAGACTAGAGATGAGCGATCCAGTAGCAGCTTCGCCAATTCCCCAGCTCAGCCCCAATTTGAAAGTCCTACTAGTCAACAACAACAAGGTGATTTCATTGGAGGAAGCCTTAGAGCTGTTATTGTCAAGGGAGGAGAAAATACACCCGGTATGGAAGGAGAGGGATCTATTCAAGGCTTGGTGTAGTCCTCTCCTAACTCTCAAATCCATAGATCCTCTTCCTTTTCTAAGCTTAGTGCCAGCTTTGAAGGAAGATTCGATAGCTATGGTAGATCAATGCAGTACTCAAAAGCTAGAGTTCACTACCGAAGGAGCAAGCATAGAAGAGATAAAGGGCCCTACCCAACCTCTGAAATTTCTAGCCCAGGTATGGCAGGAACATCTCCAAATCTCCGATATGATGGGCAAAATGGAGACGATCCATGCTATCATCAAGTCCTCAATATTGCTGGGGACGGAGGAGATGGATTACGAATGCCTGATGCTTTCGTGTCACTTTCCGGGGGCCCAAATGATGCTGTTGCACAGGGAAACTCAGGAACCGTTGTTCGACCAGGTTCTAGCTAAGTTAGCCTTGGGTCTCTCAAACTCCTTTTGCTGGTCAATGAAGATGCTCTCTTGGAATTGTCGCGGTGCGGCTAAAATGGAGTTCAATAGGCGCATGAGAGATTTGAAGAATCAACATTCTCCCTCAATTATGCTGATTCTTGAAACAAAGCTCTCTGGCCAGGATGCTAGGAAAGCTGCGGCTGAATGTGGATATCCTTGTAGCCATGTAGTTGATTTAGATGGTAGGGCTGGTGGTCTCTGGCTATTGTGGGATGATAATGAAGTGTGTGTCGATGTCGTCACCTCAACTTTTCAAGCAATCTACGCAATTGTCTAGGTACGCTCTCACCCCATCTTCTCTAAGTTTCACTGGTTTCTTTCTGGTGTTTATGGTAGACCCCAATTTGAGCTTAGATCTCAATTATGGGATGAACTGCGTGAGGTTGCAAAATATTTCAATGGGCCTTGGCTAGTGATTGGTGACTTTAATGATGTTGTGGATCAGGCTGAAAAATTTGGGGGTGCTCCTATTAGTCAATCTCGTGTTCGAGCTTATATTGACTGTATGAGTGACTGTAACCTCATGGATGTTGGGTACACAGGTGGTAGGTTTACTTGGGTTAATATGAGGGAAAATAATCATGTCATTAGGGAACGTCTTGACAGGGCTTGGGCTAACCCTGATTGGCGTCTTCAATTTCCTGATTCAAAGCTATTTCATCTCCCTCGTATTAGCTCTGATCATAACCCACTTCTCCTCTATCTTGATACCCCATTGATTAGGAGTGGGAATAGGCCCTTCAGATTGGAGAAATTTTGGTTAGATCATTTTGAGTTTCATGATCTAATCTCTCCTATCTGGTCTGCCCAAAACTTGGGCACGTCGCAATGTATTCAAAAAACCCAAACTTCATGTAGAATTTGGAGTAGAACCACTTTTGATAATATTTTTGTTAAAAAGCGGATTCTCAATGCTAGGCTTGAAGGCATTCATCGTTCCCTCTCACGAAATCCTTCCAGATTTCTTACTTCTTTAGAGAAGGAGCTTACCCATGAATATGTGAAGGTCTTGAAATTGGAGGAAGATTTATGGTTTATGAAATCCAGGTCTAACTGGATTGTTGATGGGGACCGTAATTCAAAATTCTTCCATTTATCTACCATTAAGCATCGGAATTATAATAGAATCTTATGCCTTCGTACCTCAGATGAGAATTGGATTTATGATCAGCAGGCTATTGTTGATCTTATCAGAAATCATTTTATGCATCTCTTTACATCTTCTCTCGATTTCTCTTATCATGATTCCTTCTCTAATTTGGGAGTTGGTATCTTGGAATCCCATGATTTAAGCTTTCTGGACAACCCTCCTTCTGATGAAGAGATTCATAATGCTCTTTTTGGTCTTAAGCCTTTCAAGGCTCCTGGACCCGATGGTCTTCATCCTGGTTTCTTCCAGAAAATGTGGGATTCAGTGAGGAGTATTTTGTGTAGTGACATTCGCAACATTTTCTCCTCGGCTTCTCTCCCTGCTGATTGGAATGAGTGTTTAATTACTCTTATTCCCAAAACTAAAGCTCCTGAAACAGTTCAGCAGTATCGTCCTATTGGTTTATGTAACACTACCTATAAAATTATCTCCAAGATTATTGTGAATAGGATGAAACCTGCATTAGATGACTTGATATCTCCTTGCCAGGCTAGCTTTGTTCCTGGTAGAAATGGTATTGATAATGTGCTCATCCTGCAGGAGCTTGTTCACTCCTTTTCTAAGAGGAGAGGTCGGGTGGGTGATATGGTGGTTAAACTTGACCTCGAAAAGGCCTATGACAGGCTAGAATGGAGCTTCATTAGAGAAGCCTTAACTTTCTTCAAGTTCCCATCAAAGTTCATATCTCTTGTTATGAGTTGTGTTTCCTCTTCCTCTATTTCAATTTTGGTTAATGGGAATAAAACTGATGCTTTTCTTCCTTCTAGAGGCATCTGTCAGGGTGATCCTATTTCACCTTACTTGTTCATCCTGTGCATGGAATACCTTTCTATCAGACTCTCCAATGATATGGCTGAAGGTAAATGGAAGGGTTCTAAGGCGGGTAAGCGTGGTCCTACTTTATCTCATATGTTTTTCGCTGATGACTTAGTTTTTGTAGGAAAAGCTACTCTTACCAACGCTCAATATCTTAAGGATACTCTAGATTTCTTCTGCTCTCGGTCTGGGCAAATGGTCAACAATGCTAAATCTAAGATTTTATTTTCAAAAAATGTTGATCAAAGCACTAGAGACAACATTAGTCTAAGCTTGGGATACCAGCAGACTAATGAGCTTGGCAAGTACCTAGGCTTCCCTATTGTGGCTAAGAGATGCTCTAAGTTTAATTGTGATTTTATCCTTGAGAAAATCCGCTCGAAGCTTTCAGGATGGAAAACAAAATTTTTTTCCATGGCTGGTAGAGCCACTCTTGTGTCATCTGTTCTTGCCTCCATTCCAAATTACTTCATGCAGGGGATGTGGCTTCCCTCATCTGTCCATAAAGAAATTGACAGAATTTCTAGGAATTTTTTATGGGGTTTTGTTGTTGACCAACGCAAGATTCATCTTGTGGATTGGGATACTATTTGCAAACCTAAAACTCATGGCGGCCTTGGATTTCGCTCTGCTCGTAATGCTAACATTGTTGCTATGAGCAAACTCAACTGGAGAATCCACACAGAAAAGGACAAAATGTGGAGAGAGGTGTTGGTTAAGAAATACAACATCAATGATCTCCGTTTTGTTCCTTCCTCCTCTGCCTCTCCAGTTCTTAAAAATTTATCTAAAGGTACTCCACTTTTTACTTCTGGGATTAAATGGGTCCCTCGTAATGGTCTCTTGATTCACTTTTGGACCGATCACTGGGTCGGGAAAGCATCTCTTGCTTCTATTTTATTTGGTCCCTTGGATAGAAACGCCTCTGAGATCCTTCTTGCTGATGTTTTCCAAGAGGGTATTCTTGATTTTAATACCATTGGGTATCATATTCCCCAAGAATTGAGTATGCAAATCCTTGCTGTTCCCATGTTAAACTATCATTCTGATTTTGATACTTTTTCTTGGAAGGAAGAATCCAATGGTATCTTCTCCTATTCTTCGGCCCACAAAATCCTTACTTCAAAGGATTGCCAGGTGAATGATAATTGGAATTGGAAGTGGATTTGGAAAACCCCAACCCTCCCAAAAATCCAAATGTTCTTGTGGTTGCTTGCTCATGGTAAAATCAAAACTCTGGAATATCTCCATCATCTTAACATTGTTGATAATCCGACCTGCATGATATGTAGGAGACAAACGGAGTCTATTGATCACGTTTTTAGAGATTGCCCTCATGCTGTTGCTGTTTTCAATAAACTATCTCATACTTTTGCTAACAGCCATAATGTTATGAACTTTAGGCATTGGCTGTTTGAGCATACTCACAACAGCTCTCTTAGCCCTTTTTTCAACATTCCTTGGGCGGTTATATTTTGCTTTGCTATTTGGGTTCTTTGGAATCAAAGGAACCATTTTTTGTACTGTCACCAATCTGTGGACATTCAAAGGACCCATGACTTAATTATTGAAAGGGCCACTGAATATTGGGCATCTGCTCCTATTTCTAGTGCTGCTCATAAACAATACCTGAGGCTCATCTCCTGGGAACCACCACCCTCCCTCTGGTTTAAAATCAATACTGACGGTTCTACAGTTGGAAATCCAGGCTATGCTGGCTGTGGGGGAATTCTAAGAGATTCTAGGGGTCTGTGGGTTGCTGGTTTTTTGAGAAATATTGGTTACACTACTGCCCTGGCTGCTGAACTTTGGGCTATTAGGGATGGTCTTTTTATTGCTAAAAACCTTCATCTGCAGAATGTTATCTTGGAGACTGATTGTTAGGTTGCTTATGCTCTTTTATCTAAAGATCATAATCCTTTCCATCCTCACAGCACGCTGTTAATGGATTGCAGGGACCTTTTGCGCAGCATCCCCCAAGTCCAACTCAAGCATGTGATGAGGGAAAGCAACATGGCTGCTGACGCTGTTGCAAAAAAAGGAGCTAT